GTGGGCGAGCGCGCGGGCCGCTCCCGGGCAGCCTCAAGGCTCCAAGATGCAAACACGCACGTGGTGGGGTCACCCTGGTGTCACATACCCGATATCACCGCCTCCCGTGAGGGCTCCGGACCCCCCCAAACGTCCCCGGTGGCACGCACAGGAAAGGGGGCTTCCGGTTGCGGTCCGATTTGGGGGTCCTGAACCCACCAGAGCTGGTCCGCTCGGCTCTTCTGAGTCCGAAAGGCACGACTTGAATTCCTCCCCGAAACTCGGTTCCCGTGACCCTTTCCTGATGTAAATCCGAGCCTGTGAGGAGCTGACGAGAGATGAAGCCGATTACTTGGAGGGAGTCCACCACGAGACTGGGGGGGGCGGAGGGGGAGATGCAGAACCTACGGCTATAGAGGACCCCGTTTTTGTAGCATGGGAAGATACACACCGGAGAGGGGGGAGGGGACAGGGGCAGGCTGGGTTTTGAGCAAGAGCGTACATTTGAAAACCCGAAATAATTCAGCAATAAAGGTCCTGGATAAAAGATGCGGTCCCAGCACATGGCTAGAGGGGAGAAGCCCGGCTGGGAGCCTGGAGGAGGTCCTACTGGTTAGGCGCTCAAACCTGTTCCTAAGAAGGAGGGAAGGGACGCTGGTATCAGAACCACTGGGTATAGTTGAGATCCGGGTGTAGACAAGTGTGTATAGTAAACGGTGCTTAGAGAATTCTTAAAAACAAAACAAGCCCCCCTCCCCCCCCAAAAAAAAAAAAAAAAGCTGCTCCAGGTACAAGCAAGCTCCAGCAGATTTACTGGGCGGGGAGGGGAGGGGCGGACGCGGAAGGAAATGGCTTTCAGGTGACTTTGAAACAGGATCCGGGCGGAGGGTGAGGTGAAGACAGCGGGGCTCCTGACTGCGGGGGAGGAGGTATGCGCTGGGCCTCGCGGGCCCGGGACGCGGACCCAAATTCCTCAGGGAGGAGGGTCTGCGCCTGCCCTGCTGAGCCTGCACCGGCCGACTGGGAAGGTGAGAGTCGAGAACGTGGAAGGGGTTTCGGAGGTAAACAGCCGCCACGGCTGGACCAGATGCAGCCGGCCAGGAGGCTCCGGGCAGGACAATTGGAGAAGGCCCGGTCCTTTCTTGCCTTACTGACGGCAGTCCGTCCTCAGGCCTCCGTCTTCTTGGATCCCCCCGCCTTCTCTGCTCACCGGAATCCTACCAGTACCTTCCTGCCCACCTCATATTCCAGCTTCCTGAGAAAGCTGATGATTCAACTAATCCTTGAGTGCACCCCTTACTCCTCCACCGGGGCGGGAAATAGTGTTAATGACTGTAATAATAACTCATTTAGCGAATGCTTACCATGTGTAGGTACTATGCGATTTACATTGTCTCCCGTCGCCTACACAGCCGCCTAGGGAGCCAGTAACTATCTGTATACCCATTTTACAGATTGGATAACTGAGGATGGGAGGGATCTAGCAACTTGGCCAAGGTTGTGTAACCAAAAAAGGAGTGCAAGACGAAATCCCAGGTAGATCCCACATTGAGTGCTTCCTATGTGCTAGCCATTATTCTAAGCCTTTTAAATGAACAGTTGCAGTCACAGAAAAAGAAGAAACTGAGGAGCCAAGATCACACACTAGTGTGATAGACCTGGGATGCATAATGGGACCACTGCACTTCACCATCTAGTCTTTCTTTTTGATACTTATTATATTCAATTCAGCATTTGATTATAATGTCTTGCATTGTTTCTAATGGTTTTAATGTATATATACATCTAGTTTATTTCCAAAAAAGAGTGTCATGTTTTCTTACAGAAGCACTCAGTAAAGCACTGCTGAATCAGATGAAATAACCCAAACCATTTGGGAGAAACCTACAATCTCACCTCTAAGAATAAAAACCTGTCTCTGGGCCCAGGAGCTGTAGGCTGCAGCTCCTCCATCCACAACTCACAGCCTCTCTCCTTCCTGCCCCTATCCATTCTAGCTTTAGTAGCTTCACTCTCCCTGCTATTAAATAATTTATTGTTATAATAATACCTTGTGCCTCAGTGATGCCTTTAATCCAAGATCTCAAAGTGTTCTTCTTCATCGTACCCCCACCGACATGGGGAGATGGAGGTATTTCCCCCACTTTATGGGTGAGAAAAACCAAGACAACATAGAGTAGAAATGACTCACTATGGAAATCAATGGCGTGGTTTCTTCTCTGGGCCCTTCCCCTCCTCCTTCCAAACTCTTGGCTGCCAACATGTGCATCAAAATTTCAAATTCCAGAGACAAAGGCCATTGAGTTTTCACAATAAAGGACATTTGCAAACTGTCATTTCAGCTGCTCTATTGTGGTAGACCTCAGGAGTGGGAGGGGATGTAAACATGGTGAAGGTCCCCTGGGACTCTCTGCATCCAGCCCAGAGAAGGAGCCCCAGATTTCCTGTCAATTGTGACTTCGCAATGTTTCTCAAAGTGTGAGCCCAAGCAACAAAACTGAACATCATCAGCATTTAAAACGTTTATGCCTCAAAGGACATATCAGGATAGCAAAGAATGGAAAAATTTTTTTGCAAATCGTATCCTAATATATAAAAAACCAGAGGCTGTCACGACCGAAACAACGGGACGGACAGGCTGCGTGGGGCGACCAGGCCGGCGGGGTGGAGGGGAGTGGGGGGCAGTGAGGGATGACCAAACAACCAAAAACAGCAGGCTGTGTGGGGTGACCAGGCCAGCAGGGGGGCAGTGAGGGGCGATCAGGCAAGCAGGTGAGCGGTTAGGAGCCAGCAGTTCAGGACTGTGAGAGGAATGTCTGAATCCCCCAAGGGGTCCCGGATAGGAGAGGCTGCAGGCTGGGCTGAGGGGACTCCCCCTGTGCATGAATTTTGTGCACTGGGACTCTAATATCTAATAAGAGACTTTATTTAGAATATATCAAGAATTCCTACAACTCAATAATAAAAAGGCAAATAACCCAATTTTAAGATGGGCAAAGGATCTAAATAGACATTTCTCCAAAGAAGATATACAAATGGCCAATAAGTACGTGAAAACATGTTCAGCATCATTAGCCTCTATGAAAATGCATATTTTAAAAAAATGAAATATTTCAAATCCTTTAGGATGGCTAAAATCAAAAACATAATAATAAAGGTTAATGAGAACATGAGGAAATTAGAACTCTCATACACTGATGATGAATGAACTTTGGAAAACAGTTTGGCAATTCCTGAAAAGGTTAAACATAGAGTTACCATACAACCCAGCAATTCCACTCCTAGGTATCTGCACAAGAGAAATGAAAACATCTGTTCAGGCCCTAGCCGGTTTGGATCAGTGGATAGAGCATCGACCTGCGGACTGAAGGGTCCCAGGTTCGATTCCAGTCAAAGGCACATGCCCGGGTTTCGGGCTCAATCCCCAACTAAGGAGGCAGCTGATCAATGATTCTCATCATTGATGTTTCTATCTCTCCCTCTTCCTCTCTGAAATCAATAAAAATATATTAAAAAAAGAAAAATAAAACATCTGCCCACATAAAACCTTGTACATGAATGTTCATAGTAGCATTATTCGTAATAGCCAAAAGGTAGAAACAAGCCAAATGTCCTTCAGCTGATAAACAGAATGTATATCCATACAATGGAATATTATTCAGTCATTAGAGGAATGAAGTGCTGATTCCTACTACAACATAGGTGAACTTTAAAGAGATTATACTAAGTGAAAGAAGCCAGTCACAAAGGACTGCACATGTCTGACTGAACCCATTTATGAACTGTCCAGAACAGGCAAATCTTAACAAACAAAAAGATTACAGCTGGGGAGTTTGAAGGAAAAGGGGAATGACTGCTAACAGGTTTGGGGTTTCTTTTAGTGCCGGGAGCCGGTCCACCCTTGCTGCTTGA